CCCCCACCTCCACTCTTCGCGTTCGTAGGAGCCCTGGGCGGCAGCGGAAGGGTCGGTGGCCGCACGGCCAGATCCAGGGCCACCGGCGGCGGCGGCGGCGGCGGCGGCGGCAGCGTCGGACCACCCGTCCGCCAACGTCGCTAAGGCTGGAGACCACGATGACGCCGGTCTTGTCTACGAGGTGTGTTTTTTTTTTTTGTGTGTGTGTGTGTTTGGAATTGGCATCGGCCGCGCGCTCTTTTAGCGGGCTGACCGGTGAAATTGAAAAGACGAGCTGGATGAAAAAAAGCACGATCCCTTTCCTAATGTGTGTGCGTGCGTGTGTTGTCTAAGAAGTGCTGATGTGATAATGGCGACGCTTGGGCATGTTTGATGCCGCCGCTATTTTCGGTCACTCATGGTTTTTCTGACGACAAGAGTAATGCGCCCTTAAGAGCGGGGAAAACGTGTTTCACCCCCCCCTGATGTTTACACTCTGCGGGGGCACCACTCTCCTAGCACATGGCGCCCATAGAGCATGGAGCGCCCTTGCTCTGGGTTTCCTTACAAGGCGGGACGGCTGCTGTGTCAATACCTCCGTTGTACAACCTCAAGCCCCCACCAGAAAAGAGGAGAGTCATGGACACTATTCAATATTTTCAGGGATGTTCACGGTGTGGAACCGCACCGCGGTGCGGTTTTTGTATGTTGACATGGTCACGTTGCGGTGCGGTGCGGTTTTTTTCATGTCGATATTTGACGGTGCGGCGCGGTGCGGTTTTTACCATGTCCAAATTCGACGGTGCGGTGCGGTGCGTTTTTTTTCATCTCGATATTTGACGGTGCGGCGCGGTGCGGTTTTTACCATGTCCAAATTCGACGGTGCGGTGCGGTGCGTTTTTTTTCATGTCGATATTTGACGGTGCGGCGCGGTGCGGTTTTTACCATGTCCAAATTCGACGGTGCGGTGCGGTGCGTTTTTTTTCATGTCGATATTTGACGGTGCGGCGCGGTGCGGTTTTTACCATGTCCAAATTCGACGGTGCGGTGCGGTGCGTTTTTTTTCATGTCGATATTTGACGGTGCGGCGCGGTGCGGTTTTTACCATGTCCAAATTCGACGGTGCGGTGCGGTGCGTTTTTTTTCATCTCGATATTTGACGGTGCGGCGCGGTGCGGTTTTCACCACGTCCAAGTTCGACGGTGCGGTGCGGTGCGTTTTTTTTCATCTCATATTTGACGGTGCGGCGCGATGCGGTTTTTACCATGTCCAAGTTCGACGGTGCGGTGCGGTGCGTTTTTTTTCATCTCGAAATTCGACGGTGCGGCGCGGTGCGGTTTTTATCATGTCCAAATTCGACGGTGCGGTGCGGTGCGTTTTTTTTCATCTCGATATTTGACGATGCGGCGCGGTGCGGTTTTTCCCATGTCCAAGTTCGACGGTACGGTGCGGTGCGGTTCACCGTCGCACGTTTTTTTTGACGGTGCGGTTTTTTCTACCCCGTGACAAAACCCGCGCGAACCTCGGCCTTGGCAGCGGTGCACCGTCGAAGAACACCGCGGAGAATACTACGGTTGTCCTTGACAAATGACGGGGTCTCCATGATTATTTTTTTTCGAGGAATACGTTAGGCTTAGTCCATTGAAATGAAGCCGACACGACAAATCCCGCGGCTTGCGGTCAGAAAACCCGAAGACCCCAGACAAAGGAGAAGCTACTGATCATTTACTTCATTTTCCCAGTCACCATACGTTCCTACAACACGAGCTACATTCCTCACTTGCTTCTATTACTACTACTGCTGTTGTTGGAATATATATGCGAATATGCGAATATGCAAGAAAAAATGAAGAAAAAATCTGGCAGCACCACCAGGCAGGCGGCTCATGCCCGCCACGGGCTACAACCCGCGAATGCGTTGACGGCGGTGCGTTGCACGCTGCGAACTGCCTTCGGGTTGCCCCCAGTTTGCGCGGCATCAGCAGCACCAGCACCAGCGGTAGAACCACCGGGAGAAGGAGATGGAAGCGTGGCGACCACCTCTGCAAGGGGCTGGTTGCCGTCGTCGGGGGGTGACTCCGTCTGAGATGGGCGGAGTTGTGCACGGAGCGTATTGCAGTGGCGGTGTGTGTGTGTGTGTGTGTGGCGTGGGGACACGGTGTTGCGTGCGTGTGTGCTGGTTAAAAAAAAAAAAAAAGTTCAATGTTCCTGGGGTGTGTGTCTGCATGACAAAACCGTGCCTTACCTGCGTTTTTTACCGCGGTTTACTGCGGTTTTTATCACGGTGTACTGCGGTTTTGGGCTACGGGGCGGGGCAAACCGCACCGTAATAAAACCCCAACCACGGTTATTTGTGAATCCTTACGGTGCGGTGCGGTGTATTCTTTTTCATCTCGAAATGTGACGGTGCGGTGCGGTGCGGTTACACCGCACCGTCGAGAAAAACCGCGCCGTGAATATCCCTGAATTTTTTTGTATTGCAGTCTACGCAGGGTTTTTTCTAAGCAAACATACATACTGGATAAAGTATAGAAATGGCTAGGTTGGGGTTAGGGTTGGGTTTGGATCTGCGTACCCCATGCGTGATGTATTCCCGTAATAAGCTTAAGTTTCCTTGCGTAGGCAGTCCAAAAAAATTCAAGTAGAAAGTTTCCAGGGCTGTCCTCGTTAGCGTGTTTTCGTGTCGGAATCATTTCCCGCGTTAACCAGAAACCACGGTACAAGACAGATTTTTTTGGGCGGTAACTGGCCACCACGGCATGCTCTATGCGGTAACTCGTCACCACGGTAATTTTTTGTAGGGCAACCAGCCACCACGGTAATGCACTGAAAATGTGCATTTTTTACCGCAACTGGTCGCCATGGTGTACGTTGTACAGCAGTTAACCACACCAAGGCACGGAGAACCCTGTTTCGTTTGCTTGCTTTCAAGTCTTCCCTAAGGGTGTGGTCACCGCACATCAAACGTGCGCGGCACATTCACCGAGCATCACACCCGTAATTCGAAACGGTCGCAAAAAAGAAAAACAAGAAGGGTGAAAACCAGACAGCATAGTCTATATCCACTCCATTGCACCCACCGGCAGGCTCTCGTGGCCTCAAGAAGATGAATGTCCATCGCCGCGCCAAGTAATATGTCGTCAACAGAACAGGACAGCCAACAAGCAAGCGCCGCCTTCCTCATCCACAGAGAAACAGTAAAATTTTTCAACGGTGCTTGAAACAATACAAGAAAACAACCCCTACGCAACAGTTTCCCCCCACAAAACATCAAACCATGAAAGTGGGAGTGAAGGGGGTGGAACGGGGTTCCAACCGTCGACCTCGCGAAGGATATTGGGTAAAGTGCGCACCTCTTGGCCTAGAGGGGCATACGAGCATTTTGCTGTTGCGAATGGTAATGCAACTGGTGTTTCTCCCCTACAGATGGGATTTTATTGTGCTCTCGGAAACGTACTCCGCGGTAACTCGACAACACGAGAATTCCGATTTTTCCGCGGTAGTTTTTTGTACGGCAATGGGGCACTTCAATTTTTTCGTAAACGGTTTGGGCGTTAACAGATAGACCAATTTATCACGGAAATGGTTTGGATGGGAACGGTAATTCTCATTTTTCACGGGATCACGGGAAACGGTAATTACCGTGGTTTTACCGCGGAGAATCTAACGAGGACAGCCCTGAAAGTTTCGGAAAAATCAGCCATGTTTGAAACGCCCCGTACGTAGCGCGTGCAATATCTCGATGAAATCAATTGTTTCGCAGATAGCTTTCCCGCAACCTGGGGCCCTGGGACTCAACCTCCGGACTTACCTCGCGGAACAGCCCGCCGGTGCACGGCTCGGCCTTCCCCCGTACGGAAGCTTGGAAGTGCTCGACGCTCAGAAGTTTTACCTGAAGGCGAGTGAGTGAGACAGTGCCATGGCCTGTAGTCTACCGATCGATCTACTAGAGCGTCTACAGCAGTGTACTTGACACAGAATGAGTGTTTCGTCCGGCTCCGGAGCGCCTGTGTTAGCGAGAGGTGGGGGATTGATGCCGGCGTCTTTTCAATGCAACGAGTGACGACGCGCTTGGGGAGGATACAGGAGCTTGCCCCTTTTTTGGGACGTGGCGACGAGCGATTGTATTTACAAGTTTTGTTTGCGGGTATGTATTTTTTATTTTGCTGGTAAATGTTTTCATTTTCAGTTTTTGGAACCCATCGTATGCAAGGAGGGGATAAAAAAAACGTATCGCATTATTTTTTTGTCGGCGCATGGATACGACACGTTGGACTAGTGCTCGTAATTCATGCATCTTCCATCGCTGCCTCCGCCTAAGGGACCTACACGCACCCCGAACGTTCCCTCCACGGCGTTCTCCTTGCCCGCGCCCCGCCCCCGGGCCCCTTCGAAGGAACGCCTGCTGCGCGGCGCGCCGCCTCCCCCAGAGGCATCGGCCGGCAAACCGGCGACTCTGCAACAAAACCAGCAGCTTCAATCTCTCTCCCAACTGGGGTGTCCTTGGACACATGCATGCATCTAACAGAAAATTGTTGAGCTACAGCAGTAATGGCCCCGGTGTATTGCCGGTGCGATCCAGTCGATATCACGGGCATTATTGCGGTCAACCGGCATTGTTCAGAGTTTGAAAACAACTTGCATCTGTGCCAGCCAGACGGATTCACCGGCAGTACACAGGGAAAACCAGCATTGTACCGGGACCACCACTACCGTATGCCTACACCTTGTTGCATGCCGCTCCTGAATTAACAACGAAGGCGATCGTTGAACCGGGGGACCTCCTTGTGGCCATCAACGGCAAGAAGCTCACCGGGAGCAGGTTCAGCTTCGAGGACGCCATCGCTGTCTGCAGCAGAGCGTCCCTGCCAAGGTGGGTGAGAAGCGGGAAGCGGAGCGCCCGTGCCGAGTCACCCGCCCTCGACGCCTTATTCATCCTTTTGCGACGTAGCCTGGGCCGGCGAGAAACCCGGCCTTTCGCTCCGTCCCGGCATTGCAGGGGTGCTAAGTCAATGGCCTAACGACAACGGCATGCGTTTTACTCGAGTACCCCCCCCACACACACACACAGTTCGATTAAGTCCGTACGGTTTCATTTTTTTTCATTTTTGTGTCATTCCATCGAGTACTGTCCGTCTCGGAGGCCGGGGGTCTCCACCCACCGGAATAACAAAGTCACCGTGCGTCTTTTTTGTTGTTGTTGTTGTCCTCGCATTTGTTGTGGACGTCGGTCCTTTCATCTTTCAGAACAATTCTGGACGATCTTATGCTGGCATTCACAGCACCCCTTTATTTTGAATCACGGGGCCTGAATCCGGATTGAAAGATGTTTGGATGGTATGGGGGTATCCCTAGGGTATCAATGCATTCAACGGGTATCATCTCATTTGTTGTGGACGTCAGTCCTTTCACCTTTCGGAACAATTCTGGACGCACTAGCCGGGTCAAGCAGACAGATACAGCCAAAGGCGACACTGGGGGTATTTGTTTCCCCTTTCCTTCTGCCGCGCTTGCCTTGGGGTAGGGTTACGGTTGTGTTAGCGTTGGGGTTACCTTGTATGCAGTGGGGGAATACGCAAGGGTGATTTCAGCTTTGATGGTGAAAACGGCGAAGTAATTCGCTCTCCCTCTCTTCCACGTGTCGTCTCATGACGAATTATGCATGGCACTCGCGTGCGGTTGGAGAGTGCAAGAGATTGAGGGCAATCTTTGCTGTGCGTAGGCAGTACCACGAAGGACGGCAGCAAGTAGTGATTGTTTCTGTGCTTGAACGGGCGTTGGCTGGTGTTGAAGATATTTTTGGTGTCTCTTCATGCCACGATTCAATGTTGCAAGGGTGTGTTCGGTACGGTACGTATCGAGGCAAACTGCCGGTACATATCGCAGGTATATATCCTACCGAGCGTCTCGGTACGATCCATGCAGGCGTCAATACCCTACCGAAAATCTAGGTACGATTTGTACGGGCTTCCATACCCCACCTATATTCTCGGTACGATTTGCACAGGCTTAAATACCCTACCTAAAACCCCGGTACACCCTTGACGAATACCGAGAGTGCCGATACGGTACCGGTACCGGCTTCCGTACCCTACCGAAAATCTGGGTACGATTTGTGTGGAACTCCATACCCTACCGAAAGTCTCGGTACGAGGTGTACAGATATCCTACTCTACCAAGCATACCCGTACCCTACCGAACACACCCTTGCAATCTTGCAAGACTGTCGGCAGATTGAACAGGTAGCGTAGCTCGAAGGACTAACAATTCTCGATAACGGTGTTTTTGTGCAATGCCGTGTGGCATGTCAGGGTGCTCCGATTTGCCCGCATGAAGGGGGCTTCCGCTGCGGAGATCGAGTGCGCGTTCGGGGCTGATGTGGTGTGTGCTACATTCGACGCCATGGTGAGTGGAGTGTGACAATATTGAAATTTGGCGTTTCATTTTCATCGTTGGTGCTCTTCGGTTGTAGTTTTGTGTCGTCGTCGTCGTCGTCGTCGTCGTCGTTTTCCACGTTGACACCTGGTCTGAACAATCTATTCTGTTTTCCGTAGATGATTTGTCGCTCGTGCTCTTGAAGGTATGTACAGACACGAAGCAACCAACAAGAGGCGCATTGGTTGAAAACAGAGAGTGAAAAGAAATGTCTTATCTCACGCTCGTCCGATCGAGGATTGCTGCATAGCTATACCGTGTTGGCGCATTTGTGTCTCTCCTGACGCTGCGGTCGAAATCGTCACCGGCCTCGGCAGGATCTTAGCGTGCTCGACGTGCAAACTCAAGACCTGTTCGTGTGTTAGTTTCTTCGGCGCCTTCGTTCTTTTCTAGCCTTGACAAGCGTGCTCGACGCACAACCTCAAAAACTTTTGTCATGTTAGATTCCTCGGCGCAGTAGATAGGTCTAGCCTTAGAGTTATGGTGATCTTTTTCTACGGGCACGACGGAGGACGGTATGCGTAGCGGCATGAGTCGCCTCTGTCGCGTTGATTGCGGCCGATTCTTGCTGTGTTTAGCGAAGTTCTGCGTGGACAGAGTTATCGCAATACATAGTCTTTCTTTCCCGATGATTGTGTCTCTCTCTGTTGTACTTGAAGTATAGTCGTGCCTGCGGAAGGTTAAACGTTTGGTTAGCCAGGATGCCCAATGAACCCATGGCAATCCGGTTTGGCAAGGATCATGATGGCCAGCTTCTGGTTCATCGTCACGAAACGTAGCTCGAGCCGGCGAACACCCGGCACATGGCTCCGTCCCGGCATTGTAGCGACGCGAGGGCAATTGTCTAACGATTGCAGCATGCGTTAACATGAGTACTCCCCCCCCCCCCC